ATGTATATAATAATAATATATACTGTATATCAACTTTCCTGAAGATCACTTATGATACTAGTACAATATTTAATTTTGAAAACTCCCACCAGAAACCTTTCATACAACTAATAAGGAACTTTCGTTGATGTACTATGTTTGATAACAATTTATTACATCATGTTCCTATATTTGAGCACTGTATTACTAAGGGCTGATGTACGAATGTTTTGTATACAGTGAATAAACTACTTTTGACAACCACACTAGACACCTCTCCAGAGTTGTTATATAATATGGTGAGCCGTACTAGTCTTGACAGTAATCAAACAATAAGAAAACGGTAGCACTTTATAGACTAGTTGAAATATTTATTGTCACAAGCTTTCGTGTACACAGTACACTTCTTCAGGTGAATGTTAAGAGGAGCAACATGCAATCGAATATAAAAGGTCTAAAACAAAAGGCAAGTAATAAAAACAATGGAGGTATTAACATAACAATGAAATCATTCCCTGTAGTGGGCAAGAAAGCCAGTCTTTGTTTAAACCCAAGTTTACACAGTCAAGTTGCTTAATTATTTTCTGTTCACAAATTTCCCTATCTAGATTGTTTCTAAAATTACCCTTCTTAACTACAGCAACTCTAAGATTATTGATAGTGTGACCTGTGGAAGTGAAATGTTCAGCTACAGGTTTCTTAATTAACTTATGTCTAATGTCAAACTTGTGACCATTAATTCTATTTCTGAGAGTTTGGCCAGTTTGACCAATATAAACAGCATTGGGGCATATATTGCACGTAATGGCATAGATGATGTTAGTGGATGAGCAAGTGAAGTGTCCTTTGATGTTGATGATATAGCCATTGGGTCCAAGTATGTGACATTCGGAATGAATAAGATGGCAAAGCTCACATTTAGTGCTGTGACAAGGAAAAGTGCCATTGATAGGGGTAGACTGAGAAAATTTACTAGAGATAAGAAGCCTTTTAAGATTGGCTGGCTGTCTGTAAGCAAGAAAAGACTTGTCATGAAATATGTGTTTGAGATCATTATCTTGCAATAAAGGCTGAAGATTGTCAATGATACGTTGTAGGGGTTTTATAGCTGTATGATATTCAACGACAAGTGGAATACGGCTAGATGATTGCTTCTTTTTGTATGTGAGGAGATCATTGCGTTTATGTTTCTTGGCTCTATTGATCTGTTGTGTGATAGTATGTTGATCATAATTGAGTTGACTAAATGTGTGAGCAAGTTCGTCCAAGTTTTGGTCTCTGTCAACAGTATCAGAGCATATGCGGCTGTAACGTAGAGCTGGGCTGTATATGATCGAGCGAGTTGTGTGTATGGGGTGAAAGCTGGATGCATGTAGGTATTGCTGTGTGTCAGTAGGTTTTTTGTAGATGGAAGTGGTGATTTTACCATTACGTACAAATACCTTGACATCAAGGAAATTAACGTTAGAATCTGATATGTCTACAGTAAGCTTGATAGAGGGGTGAAAAGTATTAAAATTATTATAGAAGTCCATAAATGATTGTCTGCCATGAGTCCATATAACAAAAATGTCATCAATATATCAGAGATAAATAAGTGGCAGTAATGTACAGGTCCATAAAAGCTTCTGTTCCATGTTGCTCCTCTTATCATTCACCTAAGAAGTGTACTGTGTACACGAAAGCTTGTGACAATACATATTTCAACTAGTCTATAAAGTGCTACCATTTTCTTATTGAGAGTTGTTATAATATATGGTTGCCGATGCAGCTTTTTAGTTTTGTAGTTTTTTCCCCTTTACCTTTAAGCATTTATGAAAAAAAATGAAATATATTTGTATACAGTACTGTATACACTGTATTCATACCATGTTATATTTGCTGGTAGTTTAAACAAGTAGTAAAATCAAGAACAAAGTGTTAATATCTGATATCTTTATTAAATTCACAGAAACTTGCCATATGTGATAAGCATATTACTGTTTTGTATACTGTATTGTATATCTACATAATCATCTGGGCTCAAAAATAATTATGATGCAAGGCTGTGGGAGTCATCTGAAGATGATGAGATTCAATTACTGTACTATCCATAGGTTTAGTTTTTCTCATTTAAGCGATCTATATTGCCTGTGGTTGAGTATAAACGTTACAGGTCACAGGTCATATTGGTCACAGGTCACCAACAGCCATCAGAATGTCAGAATGCCTTCCCTGGCAAATGGACTTTCCTTGATTCTTTGTCGCTCTTCCTTCCATTCTAACGGTAATTCTTTATCCCATTCTTTCTCCATACTCTCCTGAGCAGCACCCTCTTTAGGTGATGCCACTACAATAGGAAGTGGCCCACATTCCTTGCGGAACTCTACAACATGCATTTTGGTTCTGTCTGCAATCTGCTGATGTGTCTCCTGGGGAAAAAATGAAGTGAATTAATTAAAAAGCATATTTTCTGAACATATAAATTCTTACTACATATATTCATGTAAAAGGTGATCCGCATATAAGATGACCACCGAGTTTGAGAAGATCTTTGGACGATTTTTGTATGTCGTGCATATCAAGGAATCATGGAACATAAGACAAACCCGTCTCACAAATTCCTACACGTTGCTGCTTTTTATGGTCTTGATACTGCATCTAGCAGCCCAAGGGCAGGGCTAATCTTCCAAATAATACCATTTTATGGGATTTTAAATGCTCATTAAAATCTCATTTCCCAACATTTAAAATAGTGTTCATTCATACTAACAGTTAGTAGCTTCATTTCAGTAGTCAATTTGCGGATGATCTGCACATAAGACGAACAAGATTTAAAAATAAAAAATGTGTATGTTTTGCACGTATAAGACGACACCCTATTTGTGCAAAAATTTAATGCCTTATTCTTACTTGATTGAGGAGTCCATTGAAGAATGCTGGGACCATGTTAACTGGATTTTTTGACCCATACACCCTTGCATACAGATCCTTTATGCCAGCTAACTTGCAGATCTCAATCAGTACACGATGACATCGAAGACCATGGCCTGCAAAACATGATCATATAATTCTGAACATTATCATAGTTGGAGCAAATATTCAAAGCCAGCATTGGAGCAAAGCGCAAAAGCATTTTTGTAAGACTATGTTATTTATATTTTAGATGTCGTAAAAAGCATGCATGTTGGTAAAATTGTCTTGGAAGTGAGAGGCTATGGGAAAACCTGTTTAGCTCCCCTCTAATTTAATCCCTGCTGTCTTTTCCTTGTCACCATGAATTCTTGGTAAACTACAATCATAGCAACAATAAATTTACTAGCACCATGAAGAAGATCACATCCAAACACAATTGCCTCCCTAGCATTTTGAAATACCGTACCTTTATTTTGTGCTTTCATACGGATTCTTGTTCTCATATATGTGCTCTCTACATCATGAAAAACTGAAACAAAAAAAAGGGATAGAGTGTCTATACTCATATAGATATCCATAAAGTTTTTACCGATAACTGGCAGTTACATGATTAAAATATATTGACCAAACCTATAGCAATTACATATCTTTGATATATTTTGGAAATTGATTCAATATCATATTGAATCTATTTTCACCAAAGTTTCACTATACATACAAGACATAAATATCTTATCTTGAATGAAGTGCTTGTCAATAAATTAAGGCTCAATCAAGGAATCTAGTGAAAATGCACATTATTTTTCTCTCAAGCTAAAGTGACTCTTTCTCCACAAGCTTTATATATAGACATTTGGATTCTAGGCTTGTTAAGAGATTATATGAGAAAGGTAAACCAATTAAGGCTTGGTAACACACTTTGTGGTTTGAATCTAGGTAACAAACTATTTGCGTATACAGCTAAACTTTTCAAGGAATTGTAAAAAATCATGTAAGGCTTAATAATAAGCCATTTGGCTGGTGGGAGAGGCACAAAGATTAAGAGAGAGAGAGGACACAAGATGGCAATATAAGGTGCTACGAGATAATTTTCAACTATTATTGAGTATTTTTTTTTTTTTTTAAATTTCCAGTTGGGGGAAGGGGAATGACTGGGAGAGTAAGCATTTTTGGGAAGGCTGTCCCCTCCCGTCTGCATCCCTATAGATGCACCACTGCTCATTAAAAGAATATAAATTGCAAGCTACAAGCTACTCACGAGTATCACCATTGTAAGTTTCTACATAAACAAGGTGATTGGCTGCCTTGTTCTTTGCTTTCCTTAAGGCTGCCATGATATCAGGTGCTTTGCCATAAGCATATCCTGCAAAAAAATAAAAAGAAGGTTGTTAATACAACGAACCCATTAACATATTTGATGCTTGATGGGAAAATTCATTTTCAGCTCTCTAAGTAGGAGTGTTTTAGGTGTGAATTACACCAAGTCTGAAGAGTTGTATCCAGTGGGGTCCTCTATTGGTGAACTGAGTAGTACTGCATTACAAAACAATACAGTACTTGGATAAGAGGTGCATAACACATTAACCACAATGTGTAGAAAAATAATGGATGAATGGATGAAAAAATGGATGAAATGAATGAATGAATGAATAATTGATTGTATGAATGAATGAATAATAAATAAAAGTAGCTACTATTTAATAAAGGATTAAAGAAGGCAAAGGCTAAAGAGAGTTTTACAATAAAAGCATATTGTGAATTCTGTTATCTATCCCATAATGTCTAGGATATGAATTACTACACAGTTACCTATAGCACCTTTCTTGTTACCAACAGCAACCAATGCTGAGATACTCCTCTTTCTACCAACAGTACCTGTCATGTTGAACACTCGTCGGACATGCAACACTTTGGAGTCAAATCCTTCAAAGTTTTCTAAAAAAAAACCCCAGGAATAGTTATATTAAAGACATAGCAAACATACTGTATAATATTAAAAAGAATAAACCAATTATATGTAAATATATTATTATTATAGCCAGAGTTAGGCAGCTCTTGCTAAAATGGTACACATTCTCCATAATAAAAAAAATTCTATGAATGGAATGACCTGATAAAGGCATATCTCTAGACCAAACCAAGTAACATTTCGATTTTAACCATATGAAAAAATTACACCTATGGATGTAGGGTTTCAGATACTGTATTTACATTTTCAACACTGAAATATAACATAGGAAAACAGTATTACTTATTGACCATTTATCGTACAGATAAAGTCTATACCTCCAGGAATAGGATCTGGTGGCCCTAGACTTCGTCCTCCCCAGCTTTTTGAGGTCCAACCCATGTCTTCTGGGGCAGTCACCCTCTTTTTTCTTTTATCCCAATCCTCCCGAACTTTCCGCAACATTTCTTCTCTTTCTGGATCAGCCTCCTTTTTATGAATGACCTGGACGACATTGTTCTTAATGACTGGAGCATTTAGACCTGGCCAACCAATTCCAGCTTGACCTACCAAGATATAAATCAACAGAGTGCAATATTATTATTAATATTATATCCCCTTCCTCATCACTTTCACAAAAACCACCAAAACCACCTCACTCACCATCATCAGTACTCTCAACCAGAGACCAAAAGTTAACAATAGATCACACAGTGGCTACCACCAGTTTAGCCAACTAAGCTAAGCTGCTTTCCTCATATGGAATAGCATATGCTGGAATAAGTTCATCGGTCGCCACCATAAACCGTGGTTTAGTATTTTAAGAAAGTAGTAAGTGCATCAATTCAAAGATAATTATTTACTCACCTTCCCCTATAATCTGCCCTTTATTCAAATCCTTCTTCCTTCGTCTTTGAGGACGTTTACCTCGTGCTTTCTTGTGAGCTTTTCCTGTCAATGCTGTCATACTTTTCCATAACTGATCTGATGTGACTGTAAAAATGAGAACCAAAATGTTTTCTTAAACATGCATTGCCCCTTTTCCTATATCAATAATTCCATTAAATTCAGAGAATAACAATATCTAATATTTAATCTTAGCCCTATTTACTATGGTATATACATAAAAAGAACCTTACATGTGTTAAAAAAGCTATTATAACGTTTTTGGATTACACTGATGTGTGCTGAATTCAGATGAGAATGACAACATGCTCCACTGCTGCTCCCAAAAGATGATACAGTTAATCCTAAAAAGATAAAAATTACATTTTTCAAAAACTTGACAAAGACTACATACATTAGTGTCATATAAGACAAACAGATGCAAAAATGTACTGTAGCTTTTAAAATCCATCTAATAACTTTGAAAGCACAATAAATTTCATAGTGTTAATGATTCTATGTGCTCTTAATATTTTAAATGTATTCCTGGGCCTAACTTAACTCAATAATTACGCATTTCATTTCATAGGCCTATTTTTTTCTGTTGGTCTGACGCCTGAAGAGCTCTGGCCAATGGGGGGGGGGGTGGCGAGGGCTTGATTTGATGGGGGATTAAGCCCCTGCTTCCCCACCCCTCCCCTGGCGCTGCCACTGAAAATAGTATCGACAAAATGGGCATATCGTTTGAAATTTGCATGAGCTATCCCTGAACAAATTGTCAGCACATTTTAAAACTGTGCAACAATCTCCTTGCACAGCAGTTTGCAAACAGTGTGTGTGCAAAATGTTGTATACAAAAGTTTTCAAATAAATCCTTGCAGTTTCAAATTGTGCATTTAAACTTGCACAATCAATTAATTGCAAGCTGTGCAAGGAAGAGCTTGTACAATTTGCAAATTTCCAAACATCTCAAATTGTGCACGACAGCACTATTACTATTAGGTCTAGGCTCTAATACTTCTGAGCCTCCTAGGCGAGGCCAGGGAGTTAACTTCTTAGCTAGGCCGAGGCCTAGCCTAGCTAGGCTAGGAAGACAAGTAAAGTACAAGCGGTGGCTAGCCTAGACACTCACTCTGGGCCCTAGACTATAAGGATTTTAAGGTTTAAATTATGCTTATAAAATTATTACAATTGACATATGAGTAAATTGTCTATATCATAAGAATGAAGATATATGTTTACTTTGCGCAAACAACGTTACAAAATTGTAAGCTGCTTTCATGCGGGCTGCCATCTTGGTTTTGATGGAACTTTGGAACTTTAATTGCCAGGACATCAGTAGATTCTTATAGCACTAACCTACAGATTTATTAATTCACAGGTTCATGTCAAAGAATCTACAGCAGATTTGTAAAATAGCCTTAATTATAAAATTAATTATTTTTTTTAAACATAAATTGTAGATTAATTAAATCAGTACTGAGCATCTCATTATTTTTTTACCCCCATTTTGTGGAGAAAATAAATCTCAAACAAAAGCACAACTTCGATAAACAAGATGGCTGCGTCCATTGATAAAATCCTGAAGTCAATACGAAAAAACCACTTTCTTAAATTTGGGTTACCCATGCTTGTAAATACCAATTTTATTATTATATGAGATGTATACTTCATCCAAAATTTATAACATACGCTAAAGGAAAAAAATATTGCTGATATTATTGATATTATTTAGGGCCGCCTAGGCCTAGCCTGTCTGAGATAGGGAGTAGGCCTACTATTGTGATGACAGGACCCACTCCGACAGTCTAACTAGGCCTATGTAGGCAGTCGATGCCTCCCTGCTGTAGCGCGAGTACACTGCACTGACGTACCGGCTCACTACTAGTTAGCCTGTCTCAAAATCATCTGCTGTCTGTAGCCTAGGCCCTGTCTGGGACATCATTTCCCCCACCCCCTGTCGGGAAAATCCTGGTGCCACCACTGTTCACATATATATATTATTAAATGCTAGATATTTTTTGTTAATGCTTACTACAAATATTGAAGGTCAAAGCATTTTATAAATTTTTAAACAGATTTTAATTGTTGGTGGGTCGTTTGGTCTGAAGGAATTTCGACAACTCAGATATGAAATCATTGATCGAAGACAAGCTGTAAGTTTTGTAATCAATTCTGTGAGGCTCTGTGCAGTATACACTATAGTACATAATAAATTTAAATCAAACTTGGTGAAATGTATAGACAGTCCAAAAATGTCTCGAAAAAGAAATTTGCACCTGTACTAATATACTCAAATGTGAGGTTTTGTGAAGTATACTGTACATACTGTATACTGAACAAATTTTAAATATTAAAATTATTTTTTTGGTCAAGTTATGTCTGCTTCTACTTTAAGTACAGTACATTAGTATGTGGGATCCTGATAAATTCATTATGAGATGTGCTATAACGACTTGCATCATGCATCATTATAGAATATTTTTTAAAGGCAGCTAAGAATGTGTTCCATAGACAATAATGTTAACTGCCAAAGGATTAGCATTATGCACTTAAGACCAACTATTATTATTATTATTATTTAATTATTATTTGCATTTCTTTCAGGTTGATCCAGAAGCACTAGATCGATTAAAAATAAAGGAGAAACAACGAAAATTATCATTAGAAGAAGAATTTCAAGTAAGCTACAGTATTATCCATTTCATGCTACTGGTTTAATTTCAAATATGAAATAATTAATGGTTTGAAATTAATGATGAACTTAATCTTGAATCTTGTAGTTGTAATAATGTATGAGTGTACTGTATGTTTCTTAAAAAATTTCATCTGGCTTCAACAGTAATGAATAAAGTACTTGTTCTTCAAAGATAAACCAATGATTAACCTAAAACATACGTTTTCGGCTACTCGCTCCTGTAGCCAACGGTGGCGTAACTTTTTGGAAAGTGGGGGGAGGGGGCCATTTCTTATTGTCCAATATGCGAGCGAAGCGAGCATCTAAGCTGGGGGTCCAGGTTATTTTATAGGCATCAAGCTCCTGTAATATGACTTCACATTTGTTGTAATTTCCAGTGGCGGATCCAGGAATTTGAAATAGACCCAACCATGGTTGGGGCTGAGGTGAGAACATTTGTGATTATGGCACCTCTAGATGGCCAAAAATTGCACTTCCAGACATAAAATTTGAATATAATTATTTTATATCTCTATTTTTTTTGGAACAATTTAGGGGCAGGGTGGGCTGGCTGGGTCCCCTTGAATTTGCCACTGAGTACTTTGGCAGATGGAGGATCTGTACCACCTCAGCCCCACCATGGTTGGGGCTGAGGTAAGAAAATTTGTGATTATGGCACCTCTAGTTGGAAATTACACTCTCAGACTTAAAATTTGAATATAATTTTGCTTATATCTCCATTAAAAAAAAAAAAATTGAATAATTTTCTGTTTTCTCCAATTTTTTTTTATAATTTTGAAAATATTAGGAGGTTGGGGGCTCCGTGCTGACAGAGTTTCCCCTTGAATCTGCCACTGTTCAATATAACACTTGACATTCTCAATACAGTTTTTACAACCTATAACACATTAACTAAAGCGTACTGTAATTTCTGTAGTTAACCTTCAGAGAACTTTATTTAAAAAAATGACCTAATTAATTATCTTATTGTTTTCGTTGAATTAGATGGAGTTTAAATGTGGTTGTATTCTGATACTATAATTTGAAGGTTTACTGTAAGCCAATCAATTAAACTTACTATACATCTTTGTGGTTAGCATAAAGAGAACTAGAGCGTCGCTCCATTAAGAGTGCCTACCTCCCCACGTATGCCTTAATACGGAATTCACAAAGGCAGGCGATTTTTTCTTCATGCTTGATGTGGGTTTCAAGGAAACTTTACAGATGTGCGTATACAGACGTCAATCAACATTTGGTTGCTCAACTCAAAAAGGGAACTTGTAATGCTCGTTAGAAAATGAAAAAAAAAATCTATGCTTTATAATGATAATAATTTAGGAGACACAAATAAACAAGGTGTCTAAGCACCAAATAATAATAATAGTAACAACAACGACAATGATAATGATAATAATAATAATGACATTGCAGCATTCGTAAAATGTTTGTCACTGGTGCTGGGAACAGTCATAAAAGTGGGTGGAGGGAGGCAGGGCCCCCCCAGTAGAAAAAGTGGGTGGGCCAATGGGCCCGCTTCCACCGCTGTTGCTCGTAGCCTTGATCATGCAAATGACAGCGTGTTGTTACAGTGATGTTATTCATGCTTCGATGATCTTGCATGTAAATTCTAAATAAACTTGTTTGTGTTAGATAGATATAACTGGATTTAAATGTAAAATATTTTGTTTCTCCTAGAAAATTGAGGAAGATGATATAGACTGCTGGTACAATATTAGAGGTCCAAGACCCTGGGAAGACTCAAAGGAATTCCAGGATGCTCAAAGGAAAAATATGGCAATTAGAGCACAATCAAAAACAAATTGAGCCTACATGTGTATGCGGGTGTTTTGTGGGGAAAGGGAATCGGTTGACTTTATAACCGGAAGTATGGATGCTGACGGTTCACCACCATATATTGCTTTAAAATTAAGAACTTCAAATTTACTTTTACTGTCATTTAGAACAAAATTGGCTTACTCTGTATTTTTTAATAATGTATATATGTATCATGATTTACTCAATAAATGAATAGCAGTATAAGAAAACTATTAACAATTTAATTGCTTGCTGGCTTTGTCAGAAATATGACAGTCTTAGGGCCCAGGGTTCAATGGACCTTTCTGGCATGTCAAAATAAACAACCGACCAATAAGAACATCGCAGATTACACGCTCATCCCACAAATGCATATGATTTCGCCATTTTTCTTGTGGGAATATCCAAGAAATGGGGCTTAGCGGAAAGATTCACTCCTGTGAGTAACAGCATTTTTTTCACACAGCAAAAACACCTTCACTTTATAAGTCTCATGAGATTGTTTATACCACAGGTGGACAAAGTGCGGGCCTTGGCCTGCCAGTGATTTTTTTTACGTCCTGCGAAAATGAATTACCAACCCAATGTCAAAAAAGTTATAGTAAAACTGAGCATAAAGTGGACATAAAACAGTGTATGAAGGTTTTTCGGAGCTGAATCAAAAATTCACTTCGGCCCTCCAAACAATTTTAATGCCCACCCGTTTTATACAGTAAAGTTTCCTAAGTCGACGTTGACTAAAATAATTTTAAAGTCAATCTTATTTTACATGCCAAATTGTTGTGTTTTCCATTAACAGTCTGTAAGTCTAATTATATCCAAGACGAACAATTTTTCAACGCCATTTTGGATTCAATTTGGGCAAGTTCAACTTTATATCTTGTGTGTATGTAATAACGAAGAAGTGATTTAATTTGCTATTAGCATATACGTTGGCCTTCGTGCTGTGGTTACAGGCCTTGTGTACTCGAAATGCTGTTCCACACAATATATTTTACAGTCAGTGCTTGGTTTGATTACTCCACCTCTATTAAATTGCTCACTCACCTCAAAACACAATCCTTGGACACTATATACCTAAGTACCTCAACCAATTTTTCGCATCGTATCTACAAACCAGATAAATATTGAACACACACACACTGAAGATAGAAAAAAACTGAACTCAAATGATAACATCGACAAATTTATTTCAAATAATAACTTTGTCTTGGAATGTTTATTTTCAAAATTTAACTTTAAAACAATATACACTATTTTTATTAAAATTATGATTTCAATTATTTACATAATTACAGACCTTATTTTAAAGATAATACCCAGTATTCTAACTACTGTACTATATTTATTCAAATAAATGCCCTGGGGCGGTTATAGTTGAGAATGGCGTTTATTGGTTTTGGTGTAAAATGGATACTGTAAATGTGGAATTACTGTCAAAATGTGTTATCATAAAAATATTTGATCACAACCAGGTTAGAAAAAAAAAAAAAAATTGTAATTCTACTGGAGTACAGTAGAACATTAATAGTACCTGTATATGTTGAGAGTGATGCTGCTTCTATTAGTTTTATTAGTTTTTTTTAGTTTTTATTTGAGGAATAAACTCGCTGGGCATGTATTTGAGGGAGACATTTATTCCAATCGTGTATTCAAATCAGGGTGTTTATTCGAATAAATATGGTATGTATTTACTGTAATTCAGTTAATTGGAATAAAGCAATTACTATTATCTTATGTATTTGGAAGACACAGATTAGATTCCCTCAGAAATATTTAGTACATTAATTTCATCCATAATGTAACATGATAATAATAATTACAATACATTTTAATATTAATTTAAAATTAACTTACAGAATTGTTTGTGCATCTAAAAATACCAAAAATCCCTTTGAAATGATTTAGAACCACTTAATTATTTTTATTTGGAATAGGCAGAATTTGCACTGCAATACTGTTACGGTTACTCAATAGTAGTACAGTAACTGTACTTTAACAATGAAAGGCTTAATACTGTGGTAATGCAATAAAACCATGTTTATACAATTTATTATGTTGATACCGTAGCAATATTTAAGATAAAAATGTTGCAGGTGATCAGTGGTGGATCCAGAAATTCAACATAGATCGGGATTTATAACACCTCAGGACAGAAAATGGTACTCTCAGACTTAAATACTGTATTAATATAATTTCCCTTTTTTTCACTATTTTTAAAAAACAGTTTTGAAACATTTGGGGATACAATATGGTGGTACATCATGTTTGTGATGTGTTGATACTGTACTATAGTAACTGGATGATAGCATTTTTAATTGCTTAAGAATTTGAAGATTGTAGTGTGAGCGTAGACTTGGCCAGGATGGAGAACAACTTCAGGGAAAGTTGGCTATTGAAAAAAGAAAAAAGGAAATTAAGAAAATTTATCTTTAATCATTTGTTTATCAATCCAGAATTCACAATATTTCTTTTACAAGGCTATCTTTACTATTAAATAATTGTTAATCATAATAGCTTATCACAACCAACCTCATTAAAAAAAAGAAAATAAATCATTTTTTTACAGTGAAATAAAAACAGGAATATATCAGTACGTACCACATTTACTGCATTAGGATAATTTTGAGTCTCAAGACATAATCCTCCATGTTTCTCATAATATAATTTATTTTTACCCTCTACCATTCCATCAAGAAAATTAGCAGAATAAAACTGCAAGCCTGGTTTTGTTGTATAAACTTCCATAGTAAGCCCACTTGGATGAGATATTCTAAAGGAATAAATATATTATTGCTCAATACAATACCTACACAATACAGGTTATGTATTCACTGCTTTCTGTCTGTCGGGCTGTCGCAAAATTACGCAAAAAATAATAAATGAATCATAAAATCTAGTGGAATGTTACATAATAACAGAAGAAAAAAACAGCATTCAATTTTCGGAAGAAAAGGTCAAAACACAAGGTCAGGGTCACAGAAATTCAATTTTTTACCCTTGAACATAAAAGAAAACAATGTGCCCGAACACGACGGGCGATTCCATTTTTTCTTGAGGGTATTCTGCAGCACTAAAAAAATGGTATGCTGTAGTTTCACCCGTAATACTATGCTGCATTGAGTAAGTTAATAAAATAAGGGATTTATTACTAAATTGTTTGGTTCTAATTGGAATGTTATATGCATGTTGAAATGTAAACATCCTGAATAATCCATCCTGTGATCTATGGTGGAGTGCAGAGCTTCATTTATACAATATTTCCTGCTAATTGATTAGTTTTATTATAATGATCATTATGTTATTATTATTATTATTAATGTTACTGTCATCATCTATATCAGTATTATTATAATTACTTTTATTACGCTGAAGTTACCTGGCAGCACAATCTGATAATTGTTTTGAATTCAAGCAGAAATTATGATCAAATCCACCAACATCATCCAGTCTATCACCAATGACAACAGGATGCCTAAAATCAAACAAAGTATCCTGAACAGGACATAGTACACCTGAAGAGCAAAAAAAAAAGACAATTTATGCAAATAAACTCAATTTATGCAATGCAAAAAATAAGACAAACAAATGCAAAAGCAAGGGGAGGCAAGGACTTACAGTAACAGGGTACACATGTGAAGTAACACTAGTCAAACTATGCCTATCAATTTCCCTGCTTTATTTTACCTGTATTTTCACATATAAATACATACAATATTTCCATTAAGGCTCAAACCATAGAAATACTCTACATAAATATACAAAAATATAGTAAAATATAGGAAAATGAAAAAACATAAAATGAAGTCACCCATATCATTTTCAATGTGAATCCTGCCTAAAGTATCATATAGGCTTCTGTATATTGAGCCCTGCAATGCTCATAAAATTCTGGAGGCTTTAGTGTGGCACTTATACAAGAAAAAAATAGAATACAGTTTGCCCTCCAATTTGAGACCACCTTTGGAACTTGAAAATTTGGGGTGGTCTTGGGGTTTAGTCTCTTAGATGGTTCTTAATGTTAACAGACTGAAGGTTGTAATTTGCAGGATCATGCTGATTCAGCCTTGTTATGGACCTGTGCCAACAATATGACCCTAAATGCCAAACAAAACTTGTGAAATGGTTATTAGTTGCAAGAGAACAAAATCCGATTTTTTAAACCCTTAGTAATTGATAATTGTTTAATTAAACAAGTTGAGAGCACTAAACTTTTAGGTGTGACTATTAAGGTTAACCTATCTTGGCAAACACACGTTGACTCTATAGTATCTATGGCAAATTCTAGATTATTTTTTCTCAAACAATTACGTTGTTCTGGCCTTGATGCACAAGCTTTGTGTTATTTTTACTGTTGTGTCATCAGACCATTACTAGAGTATGCTGCCCCGGTATGGGAAACAGGTTTGACAAAGTCACAATCTGACCAATTGGAAGTGATCCAACGCAGAGCTCTCAACATTACCCTTCCTGAGCTTAGCTACTGTAGTGCCCTGACCATGTGACGCACTAGTCTGTGCGGGGATTACTTCCAGAAACTCAAGAACCCTTCTCATAGATTAAACCACATCCTACCTAAAAGCTCCCCCCTCCAATTACCATCTGAGAAAACCTAAAAATTTCACCCTTCCAAAAGTCAAAACCGAAAGGTCAAAAAAGTTTATCTTAAATTTTGGTTTGTTCCAGGGCTGTTTATAACTCCCTGCATAGGCGAATGCTAACCTTATTTTCAAAAGTTGTTACTAAAATTATTCTAATATTCTCAATTCAAAGATAATAATTTTAATATAATGATGGTGGTAGTAGTGGTAATAATAATAATAATGGTAATAATAATAATAATAATTATCATTTTATAATTACAATGTATTCCGGTGTTTTTTTTTACCTTCCATCATCTTGTATCTTTTTGCTGATTTTGTGATGTTGGTCCTTTTTGTCGTTTATTTTCAATGTTGATTGCTTGGATTTTTAACTTTTTCCTATTACTTTTGTGAAACCCTAACCCTCTTAGTGAGTTGCAATAAAGAATGATTTGATTTGATTTGTATTTTGGTGGTCTCCAATTAGAGGGGTCTTGAAATTAGAGGGGTCTTGAATTGCGAGGGTGCACTGTATTAGAACTACTTGTATTATGTTAATTAACAGGCTAGTTGATTGGTGATTAAATGATTGATTACCTGTTGGTATGAGATTTTCTTTCACAGGAGTATATGCATCAGCATTAATCATCAGTGAATGATCAGAAATAGATGACTTTTCCTGTAAAGAAACAGTGTTTCAAAAGCTGTGAGGTGCCTCAGATGCAAAAGCCCAGCAACACCAAATATAACAAATTCATGACTGCTGCATGCTTAAAAGCTACATTTATACTAGACATGATGCCGACACAACTACGACATATCATCGCGTTGTTCATTTCTTCAACACTGAGCGCATTTTTATCGTGTTGTTATTGTGTCTAGCTTTAGCCGGTGTCTAGCTTTAGCCGGTTTTACAGTATGCTAATTTATTCACATGAATCAAAAGTGTTGGTTCACGTGCATTCACATTTCTATCTGAGTTTTTAGCTTCAGTTGTGAAGTGCAAAAATCAGAGTGCAGGAAGCGAACCTATGGTTTCCATTCACGTGAATAAATTTGCAGGCTTTAGGGTGGCAGACACTTTGAATTACATTGCTTGCTTAGGGCCCTGATAAATGTTTGCAGGGTATCTTAAGACCAGTCATTCACACTCCGTTAGTTCTTCCTTCTCCATCCCTCCCTCCATTCCTACTCTTCTCCTCCCTGAGTTATAGCCTACCTTTCCTGATAAATTAAAGTATGAATGATTACACATGTTGACCGGTGTTGACTTGGTCGTGGTTGCATTGAAGTTAATCACCACTGCATTGTCATCAGTCAGCTGGTAAGTACAGTGTGTGGTCAGTTGCCCTGGGTAACCTTCTTCACCATCTGGACTTACATAGGTTAGAACAACTTTATCATCTTTAATCTCACTTTTCCAAACAACCTGAGGAGTTTGGATTTATATTAATAGATTGAGCATGTTTTCTTCATATTTTTTTTTTATACATATTTATTCAGGATACGTATTCAATGAATGTAAATGTACAATTAATAAAATTGACAAAGCATACTAAAATTGATCTACCATGTGGTCCTGATTAAAACAACAATTAAATATCCATGAAATATAAAATACTTAAAACAAGTACAATTGAATACGATATTTAAAATTATATTAAAATACTAACATGGAAAGTGATTCAATTAAAAAATGTCAAAAAGTATGTTTCAAAATTTAATTAAGCTCATCTTTAATTCAAATAAAACAATATTCAATTTGTTATATTGTGAGGATGAAACACCCAAAGCAAGCACTTTGGTGCAGATTTCCATACTATAGCACCCTCAGTTTTTAATTACCTTTTGAAAAACTCTCATTTCACTAGTAACATGCTCATATTTAATATAAAATTGAAAAAAAAAATATTCATGCCAACAAGCATTTTTATGTTAAATAGTAATTGCAGTAGTTATCATAGTGGAAATATGGAATATTATTCCTATTATTATTATTATTATTATACTTATTAACAAAAAATACCTTTGAGAAACCTTTGAATCCGCCATGCAGGTGGTTGGCCCTTGGTGAATCATTGATAGATAACTGGTACGTTTCCCCAGCAATAATGAATTTACCTCCCTCTGTCCGATTTGCTACTCTTCCGACTGTCACACCAAAGTAAGGAGGGTTTGATTCATAACCTTAAAAAAAAAAGAAAAAAAAAAGAACCAAGTTAAAATGTTTTATAATGGTGTATTGTGTTTGTACCAAAACAGATACACCTGATTAGACTGATGGTCAACTGATTACCGTAAGTTATTGTTGCAGGCCTACGATAATTAAATCAATAAATTAAAATGCTCAACCCCAGTTTTAAAGAAAAAAACACACACAAAGAAAGTATGCTCCAAAAGCTCATGATTATCATAAAACAGTGGCCACACCTCCATCCACCTCCCCATAACAATCCAATGCTGCCCATGACATCTCACAATCATCCCCTCCCACTTTTCACAAACAATCGAATGCCTATGGTACAAACTATTGTACCACCCCTTACAAACAATCCAATGCCCATGACATCTCACCAACTCCACCTCCCAAACAATCCAATGCCCTTGACATCTAACCACAACCACCACCATCACCATTCTCTCCTCAAAAGAATCCAATGCCCACAACATCTTACCACCACCCCCTCCCAAACAACCCAATGCTCATGACATCTCACCAACTCCCCCTCTCAAACAATTCAAATGCCCATGACATGACATCTCATCTCACAACCACCACCACCACCACTCCCTCCTTATAAACAATCCAATGCCCATGACATCTCACCACCACCCCCTCACAAACAAATGCCCACAACACCTCACCACCACCCCCCACAAACAATCCAATGCACATGACATCTCACCACCACCACTCATAATCAATCCATTGCCAACGATATCTCACCAACTCTCCCTCCCAAACAATCCAATGCCCATGACGTCTCACCACACCAACTCCCAAACAATCCAATGCCAATGACATCTCACCACCACCCCTCCTAATCCATCCGATGCAAATGACATCTCACTACCATCACCCGCTCCTCACAAACAATCCATTGCCCACGACATCTCACCAACTCCCCCTCCCAAACAATCCAATACGGTACCCATGACGTCTCATCTCACAACACCACCACCACTCCCTCCTTACAAACATTCCATTTCCCACGACATCTCACCACCACCCCCTCCCAAACAATCCAGTGCCGATGACATCTCACCACACCGTCTCCTAAACAATCCAATGAACATGACATCTCACCACCACCCCCTCCTAAACAATCCAATGCCATGACATCTCACCACCACCCTTCCTAATCAATTTGATGCCCATGACATCTCGCCACCACCACCTACCTCCTCACAAACATGCTAATGCCTGGATGATATCTCACCACCACTTTCCCTCATCACAAACAAACCAATGGCCTTGAAATCTCACCACCACCCCTTATAATCAACCCGATGCCCATGACATCTCACCACCATCTGATCCAGGGTGGGGACCATCCAGGTCCTTACCTTCAATACTGTCAAATCCAAGAACCACATCAGTGAGTCTGCCTTTGGCATTTGGAACATTTATACTTGTGATAGCTGCTCCGAAGTTTATAACTTTCATCACCATGCCATTTCTGTTGGTAAATGTGTACAGCAGTACTTCATCCCCACTCTTGGTTTTACCATAAGTTGTATGACCAATTGTTGTTGCAGAAGCCATTTTATTGCTGGAGAAAAAAAAATGTATTGGTTGTTGCATGATTGAAAAATTATATATCAAATTTTCTTAAAATTCTCCCATTTATAGGCACAACTTTTTTTCAAATATTAACACTTTTGTTTAGGACGGGGAAAGCTTGGAAGGGGATGCAGTGCCTACTTCCTACCTTGAGTACTATTTATGCCTATGAAAAGTAAACTCCCTACTGAAAACTAGCACATTCATGCGACACTTTTCAATGTTAAATTTCATTCAAAGCCGGTCGGTCTCTTGCTTTCAAAATGAGTTTATATCATTCTGTAGAATCCTCAGGTGAACTTATTGTTTTTATAGGAAAAGATCATCTGCAAATAGTCTCACTTCAGATGAGACAAAGCTAGGGAGATCATTTACAACTTGTTGGTATTTTTTGGTTAAAAGGGTTGCAATCCAGTTCTTAATGGTTCAACAGGGTTCAAATTTCCCCAAAGCACCGACAGCAATTGCTGTAGAAAGGGCCTTCCAGCATGCTTTTCGCTGTTGAGTCACCTGACCCAGCAATGGATTATACACTTACATTTACAGAATTAAAAAAAAAAATGAAAAATTATATTGTGTTGGCCACCCCCGACTGACCCAAATTTTATGAAATTCAGGGTTGGCATTTTAGCTTTTATTAAGGCTGGAATAGCCTTGGCCAGGCTAGGGGCCAAGTCCTACCCTATTTTGCTGGATGGTACCCGAATCAAATTCAAAATTATTGTATTATTTGTGTATTTTCTACTTTTAGGTGTAAACAAACTGTTGGTTGTTAAAAAAAAAAAGCTTCTCCTACTGACCTACCCAATTCTGTGTCTACTGCTGCCCCTCAGGGAGCAGTAGACACTATGTTATCACCCCAACAGTTGACCTTTCTAATTCAGGTGGAGGTCATGTGCAGTGGCCTAATGATCACCAATTCCATCTTGGGATTTTAGATGTGCATTGGTATTCTAAATGTTTTTAACCACGAATAAATGATATAATGGATCCAGAAAATTGAGGCCAGGGAAGGACTTTCACAGTTGGGGTTGAGGCAAGAAAATTTATGAATATGGCACCTTTAGATGCCCGAAATGGCACTTCACAGACATAAAATTGTGAATATAATTTTCTTTTTATCTCAAGTTAACAAATATTTTGACAAATTTAGTGGGGCCCCGGGCTGGCAGCTCCCTCCTCCTCCCCCACCAATATTTATTCCGCCACTGGATATAATATGATGTCCTGAAGTCAATTTCAGACACACATATAGGCCTATGTTGTTGCCCTTGTGGGGCTGAGATAAAAAAAATGTATTATTATGGCACCTCTAGATGGCTGAAAATGGCACTCACAGACTTAAAATTGTGAATATAATATATATATATATGCCCTACAGTAAATTTCAGAGAGACATTATGGTGTTAGTTATTGTAGTTAATAAGATACGGTGGCACCTTTGTTCCACATATATAAAATCGGAAATAAGTTTGTAACACAGAATAAATTGATGTTAGTCGTTGACTCTTGGAACATAAAATTTTTTTGTTAAATATTTCAAACGCGCCTGCGTTCCTCTTCAGTGTTAGACGACTACTAAATTAAAATAGGCCTATCGACTTAACTACACAATTCGCATATTCATTACAAATAAACTATTTAAACAATGTATATAGAGAGTAGCTTATAGAAATAAACTATTTGAGTGGTGGTATGAAACAAAGGGCAGATAAGCCAAGAAATTTAAGAATTGAAAAAAAGTGTAGCTGCTAAGAAAGCCGAGGTCTTTGTTTAGGCCATGGGAATGAGTTTTAAGTTTTAGTATCCCAGTTGAGTTCAGAACAGTGGCGATGAGAATGTGATTTAAAGATAAAATCAATGAGAACGCATTTAAGGTCTTGTACTGTAGGGAGTGATCTGGCTGAATAAAATGATCGGCTACGGGAAAGCCTTTAGAATGGTCTCTGATTGATTTTTTATGATTATTAAATCTAAGACGGAATTTGGTTTTAGTTTCTCCTATGTAGTTACCTAATGTGCATTTGGTACAAGTGATGAGGTAAATTTGTTAGATGAGTCGCAAGTAAGTTTAGGGGGATGGATAGTAGTGTGTGCATGGTTAAGCAAACCATGGTAACAAACCATGCTGCCAGATATGCAAAGTGCTTTTCACAGACAAATCCATTAAGCTTGACCATGCACACACTACTATCCATCCCCCTCAACTTACTTGCAACTCATCTAACGTCATTTACCTCATCACTTGCACCAAATACATAGGCCTATTAGGTAACTACATTCGGCAATCTGGATTTTGACAAACTGGTCGGAAACCTTTAACTGGGCCTACAGCCTCAAAGAGGGAAGAGCCTGTCCAAATTTGAACTAGGTCCTCTAGGTAGGCCTACCCTACCTAAAGTAGTAAGCATGCCATGCCTACCCTACCTAAAGTAGTAAGCATGCCATGGTTTTGGGTTGGCTGCAGAAAACTATTTTATGTGACTAAGTAAAGGTGGGTAGGCCAGGCCTAGGAGGTGATAACACTGATAACTCTAAAAGAGTGGATTTTTAAGGATGGAAAAGTGGGTTAATAAGGAAGGGTGGAGGGCCTTGAAATTTAAACTTAGGCCTAGCTAGACTAGACTGGGTGGAAAACTTAAGGCTGGTTGGCCCCGCCCACCTCCACCCACCATAACTAGGAGTAACTACCTAGCTAGGGGCCTAGCTTAGGTCCTAGATCCTTGAGACCACCCTATTTTCAGGTCCAAAAGGTGGCATTGAATTGGAGGGCAAACTGTTCAATTTAAAATTCAATTCAATCACTGACTAGGCCTACTTTAACTCACATTATAGCTTTCAGTTACTTAGAATCTCTATGCTTAGAGATTGACTCGAAGTCTGAGTATTACTCTATTACCAAAGGGTCCTACTGCTATGCACAAGGTCGTTGACGTAAGTTGACGCGAATAAGTTGACGGTTGATGATCTTTTCTCAACAAATTCCACTCTTGGTCTAATTTTTGATAAAATGTATTAAATATCTAAAAGATGCATGGGAAAAACGAACACATGTTTTAAATGACCCTGCTAAATGTAATAGTTTATAAGTTTTTTTTTTCTTCTTTCTTTACATGATTTTTTGCTTCTTTCTTTACATGATTTTTTGCATAGGCATTTGTACTTCTGTTGTGTATTTGATGTACAGTATGTTTTTACATCGATTACACATTGTGCTTATATATACTATGTGTTTGTTTTTATTTATTTATTTATTTTTATTTGCTTTATTTTACTATTATTTTTTTCATTTTAGTTAAAATTTCATGCTTTAGTACAGTATATCATTTTTATTGGATTTGGATTTTTAAAAAAAATTTCTTTACTACAGTATTATCTCTTCTTTTTTTAAATGAATTTTATCTTTACTTGTTACTGTTGTATGGGCGAACCCCTCCTGCGTGAGTGTTACCTGAGTCATTAAATTATTATTAGACGCGAAATAGCAAATGATGACGCGAATGTTACAGTCAGAAAATTCCTGACTGCTTTCAAAGCGTGGTGGAGTCACGCCTCGCTGCTCGTTTCTGTTCTGCAATGCAGCAGGATCTATCTGAAATAAGCAGGGTGGAATTGGCTGCTCAGTGAAATCATGGAGGAAATATATTAATATATTTCCTCCATGGTGAAATATGTTGCATTAATGTAATTAATGCAAGTTTGCTAATTTTTTTGCTTGGCCTCTATACCCAAAAGAATCAGATTATATAAGACTATCCTGCAGGGAAACAAGTACTGTAAACAAGTAAATTTCACACTTACACACACCCTCTGCCTTTTTTACAAAGTTGTTAATACATGATTCTCTATCTGAGAGAGGCGGAGAGAGAGATACCTGCAACTTGCAATAATTAAAATCATTGGTTATTTCTGGCGAATCTTCCGTGTGTTTGACATACGCATTATGGTCGGGATAGACTGATTAAATTATCGTTTATTTATTTATACATTTATTAAAATTCCAACACAGCAACTGTGTTCCTCCTATCAACAGGAAACTGTAAAAGCCAGTTTAGTTCTACGCAATTCGCTAGATGTACAACACTGTAGTTTTCCTCCAAAAAAAAAAGGTCTTGAATGAAACTGCTATATAACAAGCTATAGCAACAGATAAATCAATAAGACCAAGGAGGTATTAATACCTCCTTGATAAGACGGAAACACTTCACAGATACTTATTTTCCTTTTAATTTTTACAGTAACGCAGTCTTTGCACAAAACAATTACACTAAAATATTTATCATTGCAAAATAGTGACTAACAAAGTATAAATTTAGTACAACTCTTTCCATTTCAAATTGGATTTCTGAATTAGACTATATTGCAATTTATAGATAGCAATGATAAAAATAATTAAAATGTTTATCACATATCCATTATTTCATCAAAGCATTATTTTAGTACTTGTATGGATACACATAAAACTATTAAAAAAGTGTATACTACAATGATAATATTAATCTATGTTATTAAAAATAATTTTTAACTCTTAAAACTTGCCTTTATAATAACGATCATTTAAACTTTAAGCAAAGTAGCATAACAACAAAAATGGAAACATTTCCCCACCCCCTTAGAAATACATTGGCTAAAAGTAGAATTGTATACACACCCTGAACTTGCATAGGAATGTAAATTACCTTTTATTAATTATGATTCCAGATTCTATCTAAATCTACAAAATAAATTTTTGGTATAGGAAACACACCATACTATTGCACAATGTATGTATATAAATATAATTGCACTTAATTTACAAGGTGTATCTCTAGAGAGTGTAAACAACGACAAGAACAGTAGCTCACACAGCCAAATACATCAACTGAGATTAGTAGCATACCGTAAAACCCTGGGCTTCTTCTATATGCGAACTTTGGATGGACTTCTTTTGGAGATAGGCTTCCATTCGGGATAGGGGCTTCTTTTCGAGGCCACTTTTGCAAAGTAAAGAGATGGGAGGGGCTTCTTTTCAAAATGAATGTTGTAAATTTGGGAAAATTAGTAATATAAAACAATAAATAGGTTCAATGTAACATCAATCTGTACCATGGAGTATATTAACTGGCATTATATCACCTAAACTACTGTATAAACCAATTTATTTTGTTTCTTTGAAATTCATGTACAGTGTATGTACTGTACTTCTCTGAAAAGAAATCTAGGCTATCTTGAAAAGAAGCCCATTGGCTTTTTTCGAGATGGGCTTCTTTTCGAGGCTAATTTTGCAAACTGAAGAGATGGGCTTCAGTATGGTATGCCACATGGTGTACCGAAAGCATGCAATTAATAATTATTATTGTCATTTCCCATGCAAACCTTCAAGACTTGAAGAATACTTACTAAAACACTTATTTTCATATATTATTAATCTATCAATCAATCAATTACATTTTATTTTCATACTGTCCTATTTATCTATTAATCTATCAAAAAATTGTTAGATGACTCTCCCAAAGAACTCTTCCCTGCAGTTAAAGATTGCTATTAATATGTTTATAAAAATAAAAATCACCATTGAGGTTTCACTGGAATGAAGATTTAGTTCATCCTTCAGGACAAAATCAGCCTAGGTCCATGTATATGAATAACAGCCATAAATATTAAACTATTTGTCTATGGTGGTCCCAATTAGTTACATATGAATATTAGCTCATGAATATTTAACAAATCACATCACATGACATCATTTTAACTAGAAGATGGTGCATTCAAAAACATATCCTAGGTGTCTGAATGGTTGAAAATGGGAGAATAAAGTGACTATTTTAGAAAAACAGGAAAACTTTGGCCACATTATGCTGTTTTGAGACTTTTTACCACAAATGATGCCAAATTTTTTTAAAGAAAAAAAAGTTCTCTCTATCTAGCCTCACAAGTTGTGGTCGATGGGGCGGCTTGGCCTATCAAGGGGGATAAAGCCCCTTTCTCCCTTCTACGGCACCACCACTCTTAGCACACTGATGTACAGTACTACAAATGGAATGGCTATAATATGCTACACATTTACATACTAATTAACATACCTGTCAATATATAGACAGGCAAAATCATTCAGGAATGAAGAAATAATTGCGGTGCAATCAGAGAATGCAAATATGTCAACATTCCAATTACAATAACACCACAAATTTAACAATACTGCACTGTACAGTACTATATAAACCACAGATTCCTCTCAACTTCATTGAACTGACAAAAAATATAATTACGCAAACTTATTCAGGAATGTATGGAGGGCAATTTGTGCCAAATAAGGACTATAAACCACAGGCCCAGTGTACACAATTTGGCTCATGTTGTCTTTAATGTACCCAGTAATCTTTCGAGATGAGTAGGGGGTTACACTGGTGTACAGGACCATACAGCCCTTGTTGTGGACAGAGTAGCTGGTACTGTTTTACCAAGTAGCTTAGACATGAAGACCAGATTACATCAAATAAACTAAATGCACAATACCATCACAATATACTAATGCAAAATAATTTTGGAATGTATGGAGGACAATTTGAGCCAAAATTCACATGGGATACTAAACAGACATACTACATAAAATAGGGATTCCTTTCAATTAAACTATCTACACAGTACTGTCAAAATATAAATACGCTAAATAAATAAGGAATGTATATGGAGGGCAATTTGCATAAAAATGCAATTAGGCCCAAAAAAGCAAGTATGTGAACTATGTTGTCCAACATTTTCTCACAATAATACAGGAAGGTGTTTATAGGCTGAAGCTCATTTATTTCCTTCCTCAGCTCTTGGTGAAAGTTGTGCAAGTATAGCACATACTTTTTCTTCAAGGTCGAATATGCGTTCCGCTTGCTCTGTCACAGTGGCTTGCAACTAAAAGGGAGACAAAAATTATTTATTTTTACTTATTAATAAAAATAACAATAATGTTACTCAGCACATCTACATAAAATGAGAATATAAAAGACGACGAAAAGTTCATATTTTACAATAGGAAAGTGAATGCTAGCAAAATGATTACATGAACCTGTGCAACTACCACTTTAAAAATCATAAACTCACGCTTTCATTGTCCATTTGCAAAAGTTTTATCTGATACTTCAAATCCTCAATTTCATCATCTTTATCCTTAGAAAATTCTGCGATACTTTTGAAACTGGCTTCAAGGCTTCCGAGGTCCAACATAGGAACAAACGACGGCTTCTTAAAATATTCATTGTCAGCTTCTGCAGAGATACTGGCATGGCTTAACTCATTCTGCTGCAAATCCAATGGAGTCCCTATTTTGCCCTTCTGTAATTCTATAGGGATGAACTCGGCATCAGCCAATTCCTAACGGAAGGAGATAAGATTGATATGGTATATGAATATTTTATTGAAATCTATTTTAAAGGAGGGTCTTGCATCAAACAAATCTAATCAAGTGAGTCCCTTGATGTTATTTATGAGGCCTGGGAGAAATGATCATGCTCTATAAATCTTTTTTGAGGTAAAGTATCTATAAATTAATGAAAATGGTATTGTTTATTAGACTGAAATCACATACAGAAATGAAAGAAATACACAATTCTGAAGACTGAAAGATTGACTAAAACAGTAAACATTAATACATTTTTTTCCATAACTTATTGGGAAAACTATGGACTCAACTTACAGCTTTGAGCCAAGGAGGCATGGAACTCTCCTCAAGTTCATTGTTAGCTTCCTTATGAGAGTTTTCTTTTCCTCCTTCACTTACTTCATCAGTTTCTCCATCCTTCCCATTTTCTAGGTCATCAGGTGTTTCTCCTGTGTGTTTGTCTGTATTACTAAAGACACTATTGTCCATGTTGTCGTCAGAGATCAGAGAAACTACAGTTGATATAAAATGAAAATTAAAGATAACATATTTTTTTGTAGCATTTACCGTACTCACGCGAATAAGTGCCCGTTTGAATAAGCACCCCTCCTAACGTCAAAATTTCCTTAAGCGCCCTGTTTGAATAAGCGCCCCCCTCAATAATATCATAAGATTTTCTTTTAAGCAAGTCAATAATCCAATCAATCCTGGGACTGTGGTTGTTGGTATGATTTGAGCTGCAAAGTGGAATCACATTCTTCTTAGGTCAATATCAAAATGAGGATATTTCTCTTGGACAGATGAGAGCTCCGATCCCTGGACAGACAGTATATTTCCAACTTTCCTCTTCTACATATTTGTCTAGGCCTACTCCTCTTTTTCTTTTTCGGACAATTTGCACCTTTAGCACATTCTCATCTGAGTTTTCAAGAAAACCTACAATGATCCTGCCATCCTGCTAATCTCAATCGGCCGATGGCCAACAAGCTAACCACTACCCACCAACATTAATTACATCTACTATTCTGCTGTTATGTAAATATTCACAGCATTCTTGTCATGAGCCATGTTCTCTGGACGATTATCTTGTCCGCTGCACCACCATTCGTAATGACCTTATATAATATTTTTTCATTCAAAAAGTGCATCTTGAATTTAATAAGTTCCCATAAAAACCCCTTGATTTTCATTATTTCCATAAGCTCCCCCTCAATTTCCACTCTGTTTTCATAAGTGCCCTGTTTGAATAAGCGCCCCTCAGAAAGTGCAATAAAATATTTTAAGCACCCGGGGCGAGTATGGTACTTATATTACAAGTTGTGTGCTCAGCATGAAAAATACTGTATGTATAGTACCTGTACTATTGACAGTATATACACAGTATGTAACTTGATTTAAAATGTTTATCAAACAGGGATGAATGGGACTTAATGGTGGTACCTGAGACAGTTAACTCTAAAAGTCAGAGGCATCTATAAAATATTGAAAAAAATATAACTCACTTTTACTTGCAAGGGACTCATGGCTGATTGATCTATGCGTTCTCAATGTTTTAGAATTTAGAACCTTTTCTACATTGGTAAAGAAATAAATGTATTTGAGAATAACATTTCGTAAAGGCATTCAGGGGGCATTACTGGTTCACAGGCTGAACTAAATCCACCTGAACACTTAGCGGGCAATAGAATGCAATTCATTATTGAGATTATTTCCTAGCAATGGTTACCATTTTCCATGTAAAGGTCTTAGGGGTCCCAAGTCTCCCGTGAGTCACAGGAATTGCCAGGAATTCAGTAAGGCCTTCTGCTCTTCCGCAAGCAAAACCTACCGGAAACTATCCAATCTTCCATAAGTTTAGGTTATTTGCATGTTTTTGATTACTGATCTCTACTATAATAGCTAGATTGCTCATTATTGTACAGAAAAAAGTGAAGCCACTGATGCGATGTTGGGGAGCCCAAGTGATGCACCAGTTTAAAAGTTTCTTTTGGCATTTGTTTAAATTATTGTTAAAAATAATTCTTGCAATACTTTAATAGTAAATTTAAATCTAACGTAAGGATTTTTTTAAGATCATTATTTTGTAAACTGCACCTGTTTATGCCGTTTACAAAAGCATAAGGGAAGTCGTGTTGTTATAGTGATATCGATGACTAACAACGCAATTTCCCCTGCGCTTTTTTAAACTCCACCAAACAGGAGTTTTGATAAATTTTTCTATTAATATATACTGTACTGTAGGAATATTTTTAACATTGTCAACAAAAACTTGACTAGACCGGTACGTTACTTTAGTATTTGCAAATGGGATCGGTGGCTTCTCTAAAAACAGCCAATGAGCAATCCAGCTATCATAGAGGAGATCAGTAGTTTTTGCTACTATGTTATCATCAGTTTTCTAAAGTAAAGTCAGCTGAAGATGGGTATCACCACTCACAGCAAAATATAATTAGATGTGTTAAGAAAGCTGATTTGATCAATCTCCCAGAAGTTCTTCCAACTTGGGACCGCTGAGGTCTCATATGCATTCTGTTATCTGGTTCTACTGGTGCTATTCCCTTTCTGTAATTGTCCTGAGTGTATTATTTCCTAACTACTGAACCTTTGCCATATTTTTCTTTGTAGCCTAATAAATTATATACTCACCGACTATCATTATTGTATGCCAATGTTGGCAACACATATCTGGCACAACTTTCAAAGTTCCAAAAATGGGCCTAGGTGATGGAATTGAGTTGTTTCTTTGAGTTGAGGTGCCATCAATGTTAACACCTAAACGTCCACTATTTGCATTTCCAAATGAATAAATATGATTATCTAGAAAGGAAATGTAAACCATGAGTATTATTATGTAATAAGTATCGTAAATTTGTTTTATAGAGGTGGAAAGTATTTTTCATGTAATTTTCCCTTTTTATTTATAGTATTTATCACTCTATAATCCTGAGCTTTCTATCATTCATTGGCTGTGTTATATCACTTATATTTATACACATTTGCTGAAGATTAATTTACAAATAATGAATGTTTATGAGTGCAATAGGAAGATTATTTTCATGAGTTGAAAGATTGACTGTTCCATTCGACGAGGCGGATCCGAGTCGAATGGAACAGTTGATCTTTCAACTCATAAAAATATTCTTCCCATTGCGCTCATAAATATTCATTATTTTTTTTATAACACACCTAAAATAGTTTCTTGTCATTTAATATTTTATGAAAAAAATCAACCTTTTTTTTTGAATGGAGATTCCAGTAATTTGAAGTTTTATAGACAAAATTTACACTTTTTCTAAATAGAACATTCCAGCATCTCTTTAACCAATCAAAAGTTTCAATTGCATTAGGTTGATTGCCATATCGTATCCTAGGCACCGTGCAATAGGAAAAAATGGGTGGAAAGAAAATGCACGGATGGAAATAAAAATGCACGGTAGAACTGAATTTCCATCACAACGAAATGGAGTAAATAACCTATGTCACATGATACAAAATCCACCAATCAAATGACAGGGATCTATTTAGGTGTTTTATAAAACGTATTGACTGGTATGTCAGCTTGTTGGAGAGACAATTCAATGGGGTTTCACTACATTTAATATGACTTTCCCTATGTGTAATTACATTTTATATTCTGTATCACACAGCATTCAAGGTATTCTTTAAGGGATTTCATTGGCCAATCGTATATTCATTAAACATTGATGGCATTATGTATTGACAACTAAGAACAAAAAAACCCCAAAATATGTAGCTGATAGGCCTATAAATATATTCTTTCTTACCAGATGTTGATACGACTGTAAACTCATTACCACAGCTGACCTTCTCAACCATTTTACCACCAAGTCTACGTGAGATTTCACAAATAGTTGACCTTTTCTTAAAGTCCCCGACCCCCAACTGTCCATACCTGTTACTCCCAAACGTAATCAAACGACCAAATTCTGCAAGAAAAATAAATTACTGCATTGTACTCAATATTGAGACAGAATAAGGGACTTGTAAAACACTGCATGCTGGTACTCGGATGCGAAAAAAAGGATGTAATTTTGTATTCCGTATTTGGATAAATGGGCGGACCGAAAATAAATAATTTCAACCAATCACTATGCTCACATTTTCAAAGCTACGAACGTGTACAGAAACTGAGTCACATCTAGCTTCGACTAGTTAGGCATGGCTAAAAAATAGTCTCCCTAATAAAACGAAACTAAAATATATAGAATAGACCCTACCTAGCTTAGCTTCGAATTTGATGTGTTAAATCGTATGCATGAATGATCAGGCAGTGTTTGCCCAGGCCCTAATCCGAAATAAAAGAAATTGAGTATGGGACGCCAAATGAATCAGGTATGGCGCGCACTAAGCACAATAA